CGATTTCACAACTTATGATTCCAGTACCTACCTACGAAGTAGTATAATAACAATGGCCTGAGATATGTTGATCTGTGAAGAAAAAAGAAAAAAAGTATCTATCTATCTATCTGCTGTATGAGACTAATTTACATTCGTGGTGGCTGAGTCGGCTGGGAATTAAACACGGTAGTAGTAGTAGTAGTAGTAGTAGTAGTAGTAGTAGTAGTAGTAGTAGTAGTAGTAGTAGTAGTAGTAGTAGTAGTAGTAGTAGTACTGATAATCTCGCATTACACACTAGCAGTTTTGGAATCCCTAATCTTTCTTAAGTAAAGTAGCATGATACCCAAAAGAAAAAATATTTCGTCCATAAATACTTAATTCAGTTACTTAGGTATATCCGAGCTAGCTAGTTAGCTAGCACTGTAGCAGCAAGTTGAATAAACAATCCAAATCCAACAACAACCACCACCACCACCACTAAAGGGAGTTATTAAGACTCATTCATTCCCACACAAAGACACACATGATCACATAGATTAACATCATGATGGAAAATAAAGTAAAGATATAAAAATCCCCCAATGAACCCTTCAACCTTCAACTCCCATAAACGTGATATGTGATAATTATGTATGATCACAATCACAATCAACCCATATTCATAATGCTGCCAGTTAAAGCGAAACCCCACGCAAAACCCCTAATGACCGAAACCAGGAACCATGTACGAAGAATAATGAAGACGCTGGTAAGATTTTGGTTTTTTACCGCGCCCTAGTAGAAGACTGCATGCGCGGCTTGAATGGATCAGGGGCGGGGATGCCTGCTCTCCGCTTGGATTGGGGCTTGGGGCGGGAGAGTGTGTATCTATTAGATGGATTGTTAGTATGCATTGTTTTCTTTCGTTGATGAGTGGTGGGTACATACTTGGCAAACGCCCTGGACAGAGCTTTCTTGCAGCTGATTTTCTGGCTACCGATGAAGGAATCGACAGTGACCGCGATGGCACGGTCGATGTCCTGTGCGGAACAGTATTCCGAGAGACGCATCTTGCAGAAGGATTCAGCGATACGCATGATGGCTTCGAGGTGACGGACCTGGATGGATTGTTAGTTAGTCTTGTCTCCTGGTATTGGTTCAGGGTGATAGGAAGGGAGGCATACGGTGATGGGGTAAGCGCCGGTGGCCAGAGATTCGCGTCTCATGTCGGCGAATAGACGGGCGATCTTGTCTTGGTCGATCTGGTAGAGCTTGGGGTGGCAGCGTTCACGGGCGTAGAGGATGTATTTGCGGAGGAGTTCTTGAGGGATTTCGCCGTCCTTCTCGTCTTCGCGTCGTTGCTTCTCAGCATCCCGGGTAGCGAGTTCCTCGTCGGTCAGAGGCAGGCGTTGCTTGGTCTTCTTGTCAATGCGGTAGCCGTCTTCGTCGATGGGGTGTCCATCTGCGTTGATCAGGTTGCCGTCTTGGTCGCGGAGAGGACGGGCGGGGTTGGCGCGGTGGTGGGACTCGATGACGAAGTTGGCGAGACGTTCATCCTCGCTTGGGTCGACAAGATCGCGGACGACGCAGAGAATGTCGAAACGCGAAAGAATGGGTTCGGTGAGTTGGACGTTCTCGGAGAAGGGTGCGCTGCTGTTGTAGCGGCCGCCGATGGGGTTGGCAGCAGCAACGACAGCACAGCGAGCCTGCAGGGTGGTCACGATACCAGCCTTGGAGATGGAGATGGTCTGTTGTTCCATGGCTTCGTGAATGGAGGTACGGTCCTGGTCGTTCATCTTGTCGAACTCATCGATCAAGCAGGTACCGCGGTCTGCAAGGACAAGCGCTCCTCCTTCGAGGGTCCATTCGCTGGTGAGGGGATCGCGACGGACGCTGGCTGTCAAACCGACAGCACTGGCACCCTGACCGGTAGCGAAAACGGCTCTGTGGGCAGTCTTTTCGGTGTACTTGAGGAACTGGGACTTTGCGGTACCGGGGTCACCCAGCAGGAGGACGTTAATATCTCCACGAATGGACATCTTGCCTTGGGCTTCCTTGCTGACACCACCGAAGAGGGAAAGGGCGATTGCGGTCTTGACGTCCAGGTGACCGTAGATACTAGGGGCAACGGAGCGAACGATCTTGTCGACAATCTCAGGGTCCCTGGATAGGGCACGGATCTCCCGCTCATCTTCTTCGGTCAAGTGGAAACCAGCCAGCTGGTCGTGAGACTTGACAACGTGGTTGGCCTCAATGATCGTGGCGAACACAGGGAAGCCGTTCTTGTTGTTGAGCTGCGCATCGTAGCTGTTCCGGTAGATACCCGTCACCTCGATTTCATCACCTGGCTTAGCCGAATCGATGAGATCTGCGAGAAGGACGACCTCGCGCTGGCGGGGGAGACGACCAGCGGGGACGGAGCCCGGAGATTCTTGGAGGGTCATTTTCTGGTAGTTGCGGTAAACGGTCTTCTCGGAGTGCACAGAGAAGGGTCCCTTGGACTGGCAGTTCTGGCAGTACGAGATCTTGACTTCCGCACTGGCTTCCTGTTGGAAGGGACCAAGAGTGATGTTACACTTTCCACAAACGAACATGACATATTTCAGTTGCGGGAAGACACCGGTACGGCGAGTAACGACACCGCTGACGCGGATAAGGCAGTTGAGATGGGACTGGCGCAGTTGACGGAGGGTATAGGAGACAGGGAGATCGGTAATGCGGACATGAATTTCGTTGTGGATATCGTGATATTGGGGGTAGTGGAAGAGAGTGACATCAAGCGCGACTTGGTCGAAGACCTTCAGCACCTCAGTGGGCTCGTTGGCAAGGAAGTAGGCAAGAGCCGCTTTGGTTTCCAGTAGATGGGCGTAAGAAACTTCAAGGGATGCCGAGTTCACCTCACCAAGGGTCTTGATCTTGTTTCCGTAGACCGAAGCACCGGCAGGGTCGGTGTATTCTGTCAAGAAGGACTTGAATTCTCTGTAGATGGAGCGAAGGACTTGGGGCTGCAGAACCCAGTCCGTAAGGTTAGAAGCCTTGACATCGGTCAACTCCTCCAGGGAGAGCTCCTCCATCGCATCATCACCCATCTCGACGTCGTCCCGATCTTCGTCGTAGTGGTGTCTCCGGCGACGGGGTTGACGAGTAAGATCTATGTCACCATCTTCGTCGTCCTGCAGGAAAGCCGCAGGCATGCGACGGCGACGTTCGAGTTCTCGATCTCTCTTGTTCATGCGGGCTTCGAGTTGACGACGAGTAGCGACATCAAGTTCTTCATGGTCACCCTCATCGTCGATGTATTCCCCTCTGTACTGGTCGTCTGCTGTGCTTCGATAATCTTTCTCGAAGTTGTCTCCAAACAGATCGATTCCGTCCTCGTCTTCAGCCATCTCGTCGATATCATCAATGTCACCCAGGAGCTCTGCTTCCTCATCGCGCTCGTTGTCATCGTCGTCGAAAGGAAGCATGGGAGGGGAAGAAGGGGGGGCTATTGCCAGCGTCAGTATCAGGAACCAGCCATCCACCACAGCATGACTTACGACTCGAGGGGGGAACAACCGATGAGGTCTCATCATCGGGCTCTCTGGATCTCTTACGACGACCCAGGTTCCCTAAGCCGCGGTTTGCAGCAGAATTGCTGGGACGGAGTGGTGAACTGGGAAGACATTATTAGTATTCCGAATGTTTTGAGGGGCAACCAAACAAGGTGGTTCCAAGCAACATTGACAATCACTGGGCGAGGACACTACATACCTCATTGTGTGTGGTGTTCAGTCTGACAGGCGGGGAGGTGGAAGGGGCAGACTGAGGGAAGGTGAAGAGACAGCCGTGCGGAGGGTCTTTTTTTCTTTTCCGTTGGGCAACGCAGGAGTTCGAAGGGCCACAAGCTGAGAAGATCCTGGACTTGGCGCCGAACGCGTCTCCGAGACGCGCCAGCGACGCGTCCGTTTTCAATTAAACCCCGATTCGGAAATGCGACCCGCCCTGAGCCCAACGAAAAGTGGAATAGAAGATGCTTCGTGGATACGCTCGACTTCTGGGCAGTGGGAAAATGGAGCTCTGGGTACGTCATGCAGAATAGTTCATATTGGAATTACTCCTCATGGTCTAGTTAGATTGTCACCGAGGTATGTACAGACTACAGCGGGGTGGTTCTGCAGGAGCGAGAAACAATCCAACTGCGCTTATACTTAGCTACTAAAAGCATCGTCAATCCACACCAGAGCCTACAATAAAGATTAGATACAGAATCCCATCAATTAGTTTATTATACTTTTGAAAGTAACCTTTCAGACCATCAATCAAAAGTCTCAACCTGGTGAAATTAGAGCAGATTACCAACTCCATAGGTGCAAACACGGCAAACACTTTACGGTTGCGCGCCGGCGCGTTCCCATCGCCGCCGCTCAGCCTCCTCCGTATGCGCAACCATCACCTAACATTCAGTCTTCAAAATCCGATCAATTTCTTTACATAGGAACTTTCATTTGAGATTATTTCTATATCGCGTGACGGATATCTGATAGACATGGCCAACACCGAGTCGGGCGACCCACCCCTCAATGCCGGACAGGCACTGAACGGACAGACTACCGCAGGGCGCCGCGAGAGCTTCAGCTCTCAAAACTCGCAGACCGCGAAGGAGTGAGTCTTCATCGACCTGCAACGCGCATGCACTGGGATTACATCGCAGAATTAGTTGCGCAGACCACTAATGCCTTTATAGATTCATTGAATCGCAAATTCGACTTGAAGCCGATGCGCGTGAAGTCCTCCCATATGTAAGCTCACCTTGCCTACGTATCGAGAAGAAAAAGGTGAAGAAGTATAAGACACACTGACACCTATACAAGTCATTCGATACTTGTACACAAGATTTAGGACCCCTTCGCCAATCCCTTTTCGCCTGCCTCACCTGCAACCCCTCCACCTCCGAAGAGTCATATACCCCCGCCGCCGTGTGCTACTCATGCTCCATCTCCTGCCATGGCGAACACGATCTCGTCGAGCTCTTCAACAAGCGGAACTTTGTTTGCGACTGTGGAACAACCCGCATGCCCGCCACCTCCCCATGCACCCTTCGGAATGACCCCAAGACCGGCGCGAAAGGCGTGCACTCAGAGCAACCTCACCAAGGCAACAAATACAACCACAACTTCCAGAACAAGTTTTGCGGATGCGGCGAGGACTATGACCCGCATAAGGAACGCGGTACGATGTTCCAGTGTTTAGGTCTGGGCACAGTAGAGACCGGTGGGTGCGGCGAAGACTGGTGGCACCCAGAATGCCTGATCGGCCTGCCGCGCGACTGGTACAAGGGTGCGAAGAAAGATGGAGCTACCGATGGAGAGGCAGCCGACGATGACGAGGAAGAAGAGACTCCCCTCCCGCCCGGATTCCCTGCGGAAGAGGACTTTGCGATCTTCCTCTGCTACAAGTGCGTCGACTCAAACCCCTGGGTAAAGCGCTACGCAGGAACGCCAGGCTTCCTACCCCCAGTATACAAAGAAGGCGGACTCGCCAAACCCACAGAAGAGGATACCAAGCCCATCACCACCGAACAAACACCCCAGGCCACAGAACCAGAGCAACCCAGCAACCCCAAGAAACGCAAAGCGGACGACAGCGCCGACGAGGAAAGCGATCCTGCTCCAAAGCGACCAAAAGAGGAGCCTACAGAAGATCCCAAGCCCGAAAAGAACGACACAACCACCACTACCACCGAAGTCAAACTCGACACATCCCAAGACACCGACAAAACCACCACCACAACCACCGAACCCTCCCCACCCAAACACACCCACCTCCCCACTCACCCCCCAACCCGCACCTTCTCCCTCTTCCTGAAAGACGACTTCCGCGACCACTTCTGCCGCTGCCGCGACTGCTACCCACACCTAGCATCACACCCTCAACTGCGCGAAGAAGAAGAGACCTACGAACCGCCCATGTCCGAAGACGGCGACGGCGAGGGTCCCAACGGCGGAGGCAGCACCGGCACAGGCAGTCTTCTCGACCGGGGCGAAGCCGCACTGAGCAATATCGACCGAGTGCGTGCTATCGAGGGCGCAATGGTGTACAACCATCTGCGCGATAAGGTGAAGGAGTTTCTGAAGCCGTTTGCGGAGACGGGTAAGGCGGTTAGTGCGGAGGATATTAAGTCCTACTTTGAGAAGTTGAGAGGGGATGAGCAGTCCATTCGGGATGCCGCGTCTTCTGCTGCTGGGGGTGGTGGGGGTGGTGGTGATGATGATGGTGGGGATGCTGGGGAGGGGGGTGGTCGGAGGGAGCAGAGTGGTACGTATATGTTCTGTTACCTCCTTGAGATTGAATGTGGGTTTGCTAACTTGATGGTTACTTATAGGATATTGATTGATATTGTCATGATTTGTATGGGATTGGTTGATGTTAGGATACTGGGATTGGATTAGGGTACTATTGTCTAAGGGTCGGGGAGGGCGTCATTTGCATTTAGTTTTAAGATTATCGGCATATTCTGGAGATGTCAAGATTGAACACATATGATACCGTGTCACAAATTCAAAGTTGGCTCATTTCATTGTATACATGCTTGCTCGTTCGGGATTTCCCTAATCTCTACCTTTGTGCACGAAGATAAATATATTTGCAAGATAAAAAGAAAAAACGCCAGTTCCAAATGCATATCTAGATATTCGCACAAAATGCCACCCAGCCCTAAACTCCTTGTACATCCAAACATTCTTCAGATATTGAAAAAAAAAAAAAAAAAAAAAAAAATAATATCACTCTTTTAAGCGCTTGGTTGCCCTTCCCAACAGACTATCATCAGGCAGTCCGCTGCGTTTTGTGCCAGGCAAGCTGCCAGAGCGAATATCGTTGTCATCCTGTGTCACTCGACGATGAGGATATTTGCCCTCAAATCCTTCGAAACAATTGGCGGAGATAGGACCCCCGTTCTTGAAGTAGGGATGCTCGAGAGCTTCTTGCGCGGTGATCCTCTTGGTCGGGTCGTATTCCAGTAGGCGTGACAGCAGATCGAAACCATCTGCCCCGGGTGTGCCAGCACTCGAGTTGGCGGAGTACCCGTTGTTCTTCAGGCAGCTCTGATACCAGCCTTCTAGGTTGGAGGATCGGTTGAAATGCCCCGGGGCACGCGACATTGCCAAGGACTGCAGCTGCGAATATTCTGGCATGGACACGATGCCAGGCCAGATCTCCTTGGTTGGGAGCCCCATAATCTCGATAATCTTCATCATCTGATTGCGCTGGAATGGCACCGTCTTTTTGCTGTCCATCTTGGCTTCCTCGCCTTTGAAGATAGGGCGGAGCGATAGCAGCTCCGCAAAAATGCACCCGACGGCCCACAAGTCAACAGCTGGGGTGTAGTGTCGACTCCCCATCAAGAGCTCAGGGGCACGGTACCAGATGGTGACGACAACCTTGTCTCCAGAGAAGAGAGAGTTAAGAGGTTTGTAGAAGAGACGGGCAAGTCCCAAATCTCCAATGCGAATCGCACCACTTGAGGTCACCAAGATGTTTGCTGGTTTGAGGTCCCGATGCAGTACCCAGTTGGTGTGAAGATACAGTAAGCCATTGAGCAGCTGAAAGAGGATCGATCTAACCATCAAGGCCGGGATGGCATGCCTTTGCGGTTGGGTGTGATGATGAATAATCTGGAGCAGATCATGCTCTGTGTACTCAAAGACCATGAAGATACACTTGTCCTCCAGGATAATTTCTGCCAGCTGCACTACATTGGGATGGTCCAATTCTGAGCACAAGGCCATTTCTCGGATGGCCGACTGGGAAAGACCGGTATACTGAATGATTTCGCCTTCTTTATCCGGCTTGAACCTATAGCGGGTAAGTCATGTGATGAAGCCGATATGCCAGGAGTGGGATGCCAACTTTTTGATCGCAAACTCTCCCTTCTGGCCATTTTTGCCAATGGCCTTGTAGACACGGCCATAAGTACCACTACTGATAAATCCCACAATGTGGTATCTATCGCGCACACGTACTTTGCTGGTGTAACCAGAGCCGGGAGGCTTTCTCGCATCTAGACTCTCTTGATATAGGGTGTTAGCAGGGGGACTATGCACTTGTCCACAACGAGCGTAAGAATTCAACAGCCAATCAAATTCCACGAGCAAGGATCAAGGGGGAGTGGAGTAAAAGTCCGAAAGACCAAAAGGAATAGGGGGTGAAACGGGGAGAGCTAATGGGGGAAAGAAGGATGAGAAGGATGAGGCGAGATTGTTGCAGCCTCTATAACCGGCCAAAAGACGGCGGGTTAGTCTGGAGAGGGAAAGCCATTACCACGTGGATAAAACCCGCCGAGAGAATTATAGAACGGGAAGCTCCTTCCAAACATCATGGAAAAAGAACAGACAGAACAGCCCTTAACAGGCGTGGAGACAGGGACTGTTCAAGGGCATTTAACGATTATGTAAGGAAAGATAAAATGGTAGTAGTAGTAGATCTGACAGCAGCGCAAGGTTCAACCAAAGTACATGGTGACGGAGCGGGTTCAGACAGCGGATCAATAATAGTAATAAGAAAATAAAAAGTGGCAACACGGGCGAAAAGAGGGTGCTCGGAAGGGGAAAGACAGGAAAAGCGTCAAGTCAAGCTAAGCAGAGGCAGAGTAACAGTAACCGGTATTACCATCAACAGCAGCCTGCAGGCTCTTCTTTAGAGACAGACTTTGGCTGACGGTGGCCGCAGCGGGCCTGGAAGTCGTACTTAACGGGCCGGACGAGGAAGGCGGGTTTGTCAGACTCATGGACGAGGTGGAGGCGACCGGAAAAAGAGAGTCAGAGGCAGAGGAGCGTGAGGGAGGAAGGAGAGATGATGATTAGTGCGTTAGGGGAAAGTGGTCAGGTCAGAAGAGGGTACTTTTAGGCTATCCGTGGAAACTGCAACGCTGCGATGGAGTCCGGGAACCATACGCGGAGACACTGATCTCCACCACTATGGGGAAAGCACAAAAGGTCCAACAGCAAGCCTGCAGGAGGAGAGATGGTCAGTGAGTTGAGACGGACCAACACGCGCCGAGAGGAGTGGGAAGAAAAAAAAAAACAAGAAGGACTTAAAGCCGAAAAGGCAAATAAGAGGGAAACACCGCAAAGCCAAAAGCCAAAAACCGGCGCCAAAGAGAGAGAGTGTGTGAGTGAGTGAACTGGAAAGAGTGAGGCTGCATCGGAGGGAAAGTGGCTGACTCAGCACTCTGAGTCCTCCCCTCCTCACCCAAGCAATCAATCAATTGATCAATCCATCTATCAACAATTACACGATATATAATTATAATTGTACTTTGTAGGATGTTTGAACCCTGTCTGGCTTATATTTCTACAATTGACCTATCTCAATCGTAAATTGCTGTCTTCCATCCTATATCTCTCCTAAATACACCATCTGCAAGCCATCCACTGCACTCCCTCCTGTTGATAAGACTCCTCCCCCTGGATTCCCCCCGATAACGCGGAGTTTCCTTGTCCCGATTATAGACGCCCATCCGCAACGTCATCAACACGCTTGCTCTCCGACTGACTGCCATTCCCTTCCATTCATCCAGGATCCAGGTGCAATGACCGGGTAACAGCAGATCTGTCCCCCATTTACTGACTGAGAGCTCTGTGGATTTTTGGGACCCCCCGTACTCGACAACGTCTCAAACCACAATCATGGTCTCTCCAGAGCCGATCCGATCTAAGGTCACGCCATACTTGATTTACCTCGTGTTTATCACAACATTAGGACCACTCCAATTCGGTTATCACCTGGTAGGTTTTACCCTTTCCACATCTACAACCTCAACCCCCCGGCTCATACTGACACTTACTATCCGACAGGCCGAACTTAATGCCCCTCAGGCGGTGATCACCTGCGAGCGGAAGAGCATCCATTCCTCCACCGAGGCACTCTCTCTACCACAATGTATCCCCATGAACGCTTCGCAATTCGGCCTGGTGTCGTCAATCTACACCCTTGGTGGACTTTTGGGAGCCCTGCTGGCAGGACCAGTTGCCACCAAACATGGTCGCCTCTTTGCTCTGCGAGCAACCACGCTATTCTTCATCCTGGGCCCCGTGGCTGAAACATGCGCATCCAACATCTCCCTCCTAAGTCTAGGCCGGCTGCTGTCCGGCATTGGAGCAGGAGCTGCGATTGTCGTCGGCCCCATCTACATTTCCGAAATCGCTCCACCCAGCGCCAGAGGTTTCTTTGGTGCCTTCACGCAGGTCATGACCAACGTCGGCATCCTATTAACCCAGTCCCTCGGATACTTCCTAAGCGAGGGCAGCAAATGGCGATTCATCCTCGCCATCGCCGGCTTCATCGGAGCCCTCCAGCTCCTTGGTCTCGCCCTAGTCCCAGAAAGCCCCACCTGGCTCGCCGAGCACCAAAAGAGCAGTCTGGCCAGACAAGTCCTGCAACGGCTGCGCGGAAAGGACGCAGACATCGAAGAGGAAATCGAAGGATGGCCATCCTCAACAGCAGGACCAACCGATGACATCTCCGGCGAAGAGCAATCGCTCCTCACGCCACCATCCGGCAACATGCCACCCAAACAACCCCCGGTCACCATCATCCACGCCATCAGTAACCCAACCTACCGACCAGCCATCATCGCCGTCGTCGGCGTCATGGTCTCCCAACAATTCACCGGCATCAACAGCATAATCATGTACAGCGTCTCCCTCTTACAGACCATCCTTCCCACCACCGCCGCCCTCCTCACCGTCATCATCTCCGCCATCAACCTCATCATCACCCTCGCCTGCTCCCCTCTCCCCGACAAAATCGGCCGTCGATCCTGCCTCCTCCTCAGCATCACCGGCATGGGATGCAATTCCATGCTCCTAGCCCTAGCCATCTACTTCAACCAAAAGGTCCTCTCCGCTATCGCCGTCCTCCTCTTCGTCTCTTGCTTCGCCGTCGGCCTAGGCCCCGTCCCATTCATCCTCGCCTCGGAGCTCGTCGGCCCCGAAGCCGTCGGCGCCACGCAAAGCTGCGCCCTAGCTGCCAATTGGATCGCCACTTTCGTAGTAGCGCAATTCTTCCCCATGTTGAATGATGCCCTGGGCGGCCGTGGCAAGATCTACTGGGTCTTTACGGGTATGGCGTGTCTCCTTGGTGGGTTTATTTATTGGCGTGTTCCGGAGACGAAGGGGAAGGCTAGTGCGGATGAGGTCTGGGGGAGAGATGATCGGAGGCGACGGGATTAATTCCAGATTCAGTAGCTGTTGGGGTATCGTATTTTCGTTCGCGTGCGTAATATCTGTGTATGGTCCGTACCTATTTGAGCGGCCTACAGTATGAGATATATAGCCTTCTTCAATTGGTCAATTAAGTAAGGGTTTACTATATTTAGCAAGCTTGGTATGGTATACCCGTAGTTCTCGCTTTTAGTTCCATTCGGTGACATTAAGAATGATGACATGCTCTAATAATACATAGTACTAACTATGGTATGAGTGTGAGTTTGAGGTTGCGGTGCGAAGATGTACGTATGGAAAAAGACAGATGTTCCTGGGCAACCCCAGTAATAATATATTTTCCGATGAGTCAACTGCTTTGAATAACATGAACGCTAAAGTGACTTTAGGGCAGTGGTATGTTCTTAGTTAAAAATATCAAACATGAAACTAGCCCGCCAATGCAACAAGGTAGTAGAAGATATCCCAGTCTAGCCGCTATGCTGTATACCTGCATCTCGTAATCGACAGAAAAGCTCTAATGATGAATCCGCAAAACGCTAACAGACATGTCTAGTCATAACGTCAATCATTCATATCCAACACTTCATAATTCATCATGGTAAAAAAAGTATGAGAATATCCGTATCGATCTGCATGCGCTGCAGATTCATACAACCCCCATGGCCAGCCTCACTTGCTAGCTGACATTTGTGGCGGGGCACGTGGCTGTATCTCCATTGACGTAGCAGACTCCTCGGTAGACGCCTGCGACATTAGACGGTCTCTTGCCTCTTCAGGATCCCAGAGCGCGGCATTTTTGCCGCAGTTGTTTTTGGCCTCATCTAACCATCTATCCCATGCGTCGGTCGACGGGGCCAGGCCTCCTTTTCGGACCCATGCAATCTCGCTGGTCTCCCGAATAGCCTCCCACAAGGCTCTAGTGTAACTCCTCGTCTTTGCCGTTCTGACTGTCTTCACGTCATATCGGCGGCTTAAGTCCCACATTTCCCCCGGATCCATCAGCAAGGCCAGGGCAAAGTATAGGATATTCAGGATGATGTATGCGACGCCGACGGCAATCTGCATCGTCCATCCGCAGTTACTGAAGAGAATGATTGCCGCCATAAGAAGGACCGTGCTGCAAGCCAAAAGTGCTTGGTGGCCTCGAGTCTTGAACACGTAGCGACAGCTTTCAGCTCCCCCGTACAGCTCTCTCGTTATCTCTTCGGGGCATTCTACCACAATAAAAGCCCCGTTACGGGTCTTCATGACAATATCCCCCTTCGTCACCTTGGCTTTTGTCGTACGGGTGGATAGCCTCGGATACCATTGCGCAGAAAGGCAGGCAGCGCTGGTAGACAATGACATGGCGGCGAGGGCGACGAGGGCCACGCCGTCGTGGATCATACCCGCCCAGATGAAGAGGCCGATGGTCATTAGAATTGAGATCAAGGTCACTAGATTTAGCGCACTGAGCGACTTCAACGGGACGATGACCTCTTTCTTGTCGTCGTCCGGCTGGCTTTTTTGCTCGGCATCATTTTGCGTTCCTCCACTCTCGACATCGTCCACCTCTGCTGCGCTTTTGATGGTGTCCTTCTCCGGTTCCCGATATGTAATCTTGTAGGACCGAAACTCATACTCCTCCAGCTCCTCGAGCTTGTGAATGACATTGGCGAAAAAATTGAGTTCGGTGAAGCGCGTACCGGATTTGACGCCAATGATGGTGACTTCCTTGACAGAGGGGAGTCGGTTGGGCCGATCTGTATCCAGCAGTGATTCAGGGGCGGGTAGGATACGTGGGAACCCGGCAAATGGGGACGCCGTGATTGCCTGCTTATGCTTTTCAATAGAGGACCCTCCGATAATGGCCAGAAGGGAGACGATATCAAAACGCCAGCTCTGTGCTTCGGAATCGAGGGTCGTCGGAAACCAGCCCATGTTGTCTTCAAATCAAAAAATGGCAGTGAATATCTGCAGGAATGTGCCCGAAGGATAAGTTTGCTGCAGAATCACTGTTCAAACATGGATATGAAGGGATTCATCCAGCAAGATGGCGGGGTATTCGATGGACCATGTAAATGTAGGTCACGGAGAGTTGGCAGAGGTAAGGAGTCTTATAAGCATCAGTGGAGGAACCCAAAGGAAGCACTGCAATTTTTGGCGAGCTGAAGGTCTGCCTTGGCCAATCGATCGGCCGCAGCAAAAGCTGCCAGCCACCTGTACTTCATATGATAGGTGGTGCTCAGGTGTTCGGCTGAGGTTGATTTGCATCCCGAACCGCTGTTGCATTAGCGGCCAGCCTAGTCGTGGACCTGACTCGGCCGCCCACAGCTTAACTGCATCAAAGCCTCAGTCAGCTGGAAGGCGGTATGGATGCATCAAGAGAGGGGGAGAGGCGATTTCATCTTTCCCAACAGGCCAGAGACCCGTCAAATAGTTTTACAGTTGTTGGGTATCTGTTTTGCGTGGATAGCTGGAGGAGAGCCGACCAGGAGCGTTAGCTTGAAACTCCAGTGGCTGGGTGCCGCGAGAGATCTGAGGAGTTCGTGGCATCGATAGAGACCCTTAGTACGTAGCAATCATTTGGCCTATCATAAGAATGAGTCTGCTGCAGCTTATCCCAATTTAGGTCGAAGGCAAACAACTAACCAAGTCAGAGGTCCCTGTTCGCTGATCAGTCTTGAAGTCATGGCTCGACAAGTGTACTTCGAACCCGCTCAGCTGAGAGACGGTCGCTCCTCCGCTTCTCTAAAATACCAGCTTGGGTAGCTATGAGGTGTTGGTTCGTCAATACGTTGGTTTGAAATAGAGGATATGATGTGGAAGTGCCAGGTTGGGGTGGAAGGGGTACTCTTAACTAGTACTACCCATGTTGTGGTAGCACTTACTGTAAATACTATGGCGAAGAACGGCCCTTGTCTATACAGCAATGACCCCGCCAATGCACAGCACAGCAGCTGAGCCGTGCTGGACGGTCAGTGAGAATTCCACCTTAAATCCATAGAGGTGACCTATTTCTTTGGGATCGATTGCGAGGTCGGCGTTAACCCGCAAGTAGCAGTTTACTCCGCAGCAAGGGACTGTGCAAAAACGTGTCGCTTCGGGAGACCCCAGATTGACGGGGACTGTTGGTGGTCGTACAGGAAAGTAAATCTGATCCTGATTGAGCCAGGTGATAGACATGTATCTTGTAAAGCCTTACTCCGTACGATGCGCAACCAGCTTGAATGCTCCATCAACTGACCAGTCACTTTCATCATTCTTCGTGACTCAAGTACGTAGCTTGAGCTTCGTTCCCACAAGCATTCATGGGTAAATAAATATTTCTCTCGGTGAGAACCTCACACCGACAGTGAAGTCCCCCTAAGCACAGATTAAATATCATCTGCGACACATAGCTAATTATCAACGGTCAAGACTCCTAAAGCTGCAAAGCATTTGACCGATGGGCCGAACCATGGTTCAAGCATGAGGAAGTGGAGAGGAAAACTGCCTAATGCCTTTGTCTCTGGAGAGATCCAACCCAGAATTACCAGAGTGACTTCACTTTCACCGCCTCCAGGCAACCATCTTTAATCGGCCGAACTTCCGACAGTCCCAGTCCTTTAATAGACTACTTACTACTCATACTCCCTTCCATTCGATCTTTTCGGTTATTCATTGACATGTTGACTTACTCCGGGTGTGGGGGGTTACAGGGCTGAAGCAGGGACAGCGAGGCAGTGATCCATAGCCCCTCCGTTGTCGTCTTTGCCCGAGTGAATCTCACGTTAGACACATCCATTGGATGCTTCCGGATCGAGGGGCAGTCGATCTACTGGATGGATTCGCTCTCATTGGATCTGAGCCTTGGATGAAACTATGAGGGGTTCTCAGATGACGTTCAGGCAGCAAGAAATGTGCTCGGCAATAGTAGTAATTGGATTTGGATTCCGATGTTCCGTACATAGCCAGTGAATGAACTCTGTAGATGTAGAGAGCATACGAGACAGAGTTAAGACAAGATGATCGGTAAGTGGTCCAGATGGGAGAGCTCGGAAATAGCCACATCCCCATAGCCACAACCCCCATCCACTCTACGAAGTAGTAAGTAGTAGTACTAGGCTGCCAGTTTTCCTTTCCTTTCTCCATTTCACAAGACTCATGATCACTCGCCCGGTGGGCCTGAACGTCTTATCTACCAGCTTTTCCACTTCTTCCAGCACCTTCTAGCCCTATAGCATTCGACGAATTACCAGGGTCCAATTTAATAGGAGTTTCAATCATCCAGGGCGTAACCGGCGGCTTCCGCAACTCCTCACTTGCTCCCGTTGTTGGGAACTGGGGATTCGCTGCAGCCCATTAATCTTGTTGTAGCTTCCCAAACAGCAGAATAAATTAGAGTCTTGGGAACTCCGAGGTTCAAGTACAAGAAGGAGCCCATCGAGGAGGACTCAAAAAGGGACTCACGGACTTGAACTGACTGACTTAAACAGTACGACATCCACCCCAAAATCCCCACTCACAATACGAGTGCTGCAGCAGTCAGTCAGTTGCTGTTGTGCTTTCCTTCTCCTTTTTCCCAGACCCAGTTTCCGTCTCCATCATCGATTATTCTTAGTACCCCTTAGCTTTGATTATTATTATTTTTATTATTATCATTATCATCATCATTATTATTCCTATTATTACTGCCGACCTGGTTGTTGTTATTTGTTGTTGGGGTGGTTCCTCCCTCCCCAGTCGTCTGTCGTATTATTATTATTACTATTATTACTGTATTCACCCCGTCCAAGTCCGTGCATTAAGCTTTCCCTCTCTTCCACCCCATTTTCGTTGTCACCGGTTTTGTGGGCGCAATGCTCCTGGCCTTGCTTCGCTAGAAACAAAAAGGTGCCAATTGCAGGGTGGGTGAAGTTCTCCTGTTGATTTCCGTACTGTCCGATCGTGGCTCCGTCTCCTGGTTTCACTGGGCGGATCCAGACACAGAGAGCACCACTTAGTAGTACTTTAGATCAGCCGGCAGTTCGTCCTGACAGGCAACCACACCGTGACACCTCTTCGTCACGGTGGCCGGGGAGCTCTGGCCGCTTTTCAATGTACTATATTTCCCAATAGCCCTCCATGGCACTTGATTGATGCGATAGTTCTTCTCTAATACCATTTTCCCTGTCCAGTTTCCCGTGTTGACGCGACGTGTCCTGTCCTCCTCCGCCTTCGTCGAGCCTGTTTCCCCCGCACTTCCGGCCGGTCACCATGGTGCGGTTACCATTGCCACAACGTCTCAGCAGCCATCTGAGCACGAAAAGCAATAACCCTACTCCCGGCCAAAGCAGGAGTACAAGCCCGATGCGAATGCCTGAGCAGAAGCCGTTAATCCTGAAAGTCTCCGTCATTCGGGTGAGTGAGAATGTCGCATCTACGAGCGCGCGGAGCTCTACGGAAGCTCTGACCACAGTTCCATTGATCCGCTAACCCAGGTCGCATATACCTTCAGGGACGAAATCTTGCAGCTAAGGATCGAGGAGGGACTAGCGATCCGGTGAGTTCCCCTTTATCAATCATGGAGAAACCAGTCAATCTCATTTTCGAGCCTTGTGGCTGACGAAACCCTCCTCTTCTGCAGTACTTGGTAGTCACGCTCGGAGACGCACGACAATCAACACCCACAATTCCCAAGACCTTGAACCCAGAATGGAATGTGACATTCGAGATGCCAGTGGTTGGCGTACCGCTGTTGGAGTGCATTTGTTGGGACCATGATAGATTTGGCAAAGATTACCTGGGCGAGTTCGACATAGCACTGGAAGATATCTTTCAGAATGGTGACGTTCATCAGCAGGTAGGCGCCCGTTTCGTGTGGCTTAGATCGAGCTGAGCTGACATATGCCCTCAAGCCAAAATGGTATACACTCAAATCGAAGCGAAAACCAACTAAAAAGAAGGACAGTATGGTCTCTGGGGAGATTCTTCTGAAATTTTCACTCCTCGACGCATCGAATCCGAACGCTTCGCCAACGGACACCTATCACAAGTTCAAAACGATGGTGTCCTCTGGAGATGAGGAGGATGATTTCCCGCAGATCCCGTCCATCACGCTGGATGATGTCGACAGAGAGGAAGAAACCTCGGATGAGACAGACGACCCTACGAAACCTGAGGTCGTCGAGAAGAGAAGACGCAGACTACGGCTCAAGCGCTTGAAGCGCAAATCCCTTGCCGCTAGAGCCTATCAATTCTCAGGGGCTGGTAACGGAGTACAGGGTATCGTTTTCATGGAAATTGTCAAAGTGACAGACCTTCCGCCGGAACGGAATGGTAAGACGCGCCACCTCCTATGGCCCCTACTTCTTTGCTAACCCGCAACAGTGACGCGCACTTCCTTTGACATGGATCCATTTGTGGTCACATCTCTCGGTAGAAAAACGCTTCGAACGCCGGTCGTGCGTCACAATCTCAACCCCGTCTACAACGAGAAGATGGTCTTTCAGGTTATGAAACACGAACAATCTTATACTATCGGATTCACCGTCATGGACAGAGACAAGTTCTCTGGAAATGACTTTGTTGCTTCCGCTTCGTTCCCGGTCCAGACGCTCATAAAGTCCGCTCCCGAGGCCGACCCCGAAACCGGTCTATACAAATTCGTCGACCCGAGTCTGGATCCCACAGGGGCCGAGCAAGGTCATTCCAGCCGGCCTTCAGAGATAAAAATTGCCATCAGCAGATCGCCTTCGGCCAACAGCTTGTCAACGTCACCCAAATTTGGCACTACACCCAGAGGTTCTTCTACTTCCTTAACAAGCCAGACACTGCAGGAACAGTCTTCGACATTGCTACCTCCACGGAGTATCCCTGAAATTCCCGAGAGTAGCCAGCCTTCCACCCCAACAGCGGCCAGCTTCGAAGGAGATCCGATCGGACCGCTCGAGTCGAATGGCCTTCAGGTCTATCGGATACAACTAGCCCTGAAAAACAAAGAAAGATGGGAAGATAAACACTTCCCTGAACTGTTTGTCAAGGCGAAATACATGCCTTATCGTGCACTGCGGCAGCAGTTCTGGAGACTCATGCTTAGACAGTATGATGCCGATGAGAGCGGCCGGATCGACAAAGTTGAGCTCACGACAATGCTTGACACTCTTGGGTCAACCCTGAAGGAGTCTACGATCGACAGCTTCTTCGAACGGTTCAGCTCGGAGAATGAGCCCAGTGATACTATGGATCTGACATTCGACCAGGCTGTGATATGCCTGGAAGATACACTTCAGGCTCTGCAGAAAGACCCCGGCTCACCTCCCAAGAAACTCTCGCCCACGCCGTCGACCGCTAGCCGTGAGAGTGATGAACAATCAAGTGGTGATGAACTCACCATGGAACCTCGCTCACACAATGCCAATCCTCAGGCTACTTCAGTACCGACATTGTCGAGTGATGAGCAGCCGAGTTCCACGGAGGAGGACCTCCTTCCAGATGACCTGGGAGATGAACGAGGTGTGGAACACGTTATTGAACTCCGAGAATGTCCTCTATGTCATCAACCGCGCCTCTCTTCACGCTCAGATGCCGACATCATCACACACATTGCTACCTGTGCCAGCCGGGACTGGAGACAGGTAGACAACCTCGTCATGGGTGGATTCGTAACATCGAGTCAGGCCCAGCGCAAGTGGTACACCAAGGTGATCACCAAGATCTCCTATGGTGGGTATAAGCTGGGTGCCAACTCAGCCAACATCCTTGTTCAGGATCGAATCACTGGCCAGATCAATGAAGAGCGTATGAGTGTCTATGTCCGGCTGGGAATCCGGCTTCTATATAAGGGCCTCAAGAGCCGAGAAATGGAAAAGAAGAGAAGTATGATTACCCGCTTGTTGCTTATAGCCTGACTCGCACATAACTAACCGTCTATCACAGTCCGCAAGATCTTGAAGTCGCTCAGTATCAAACAGGGCAGGAAGTACGATGACCCGGCATCGGCCAGTCAAATCCGGGATTTTATCAATTTCCATCAACTCGATATGTCTGAGGTCTTGCTCCCAGTGGAGAAGTTCAAGACCTTCAACGAATTCTTCTACCGTGCCCTCAAGCCCGGTGCTCGGCCCTGCTCAGCCCCTGAGGAGCCCGGGATCGTAGTATCGCCTGCTGATTGCCGAGCGGTCGTGTTTGACCGCTTGGAGGAAGCGACCGGAATCTGGGTCAAGGGCAGGGAGTTCTCCATTGCTCGACTTCTGGGCGACGCATATCCTGAGGATGTGCAACGCTTTAAGAATGGAGCGTTGGGAATCTTCCGTCTCGCGCCGCAGGACTACCACCGCTTCCATATCCCCGTGGACGGTGTCTTGGGCGAGCCCAAGACCATTGAAGGTGAATACTACACTGTCAACCCGATGGCGATCCGTTCTGCTTTGGACGTTTATGGCGAAAACGTGCGAGTTTTGGTACCCATTGATTCGGTTGCTCACGGCCGTGTCATGGTGGTTTGCGTGGGAGCCATGATGGTGGGAAGTACGGTCATTACACGGAAGGCGGGAGAGAAGGTCTCCCGGGCTGAAGAGCTTGGATACTTCAAGTTTGGAGGAAGCACTCTCCTGCTTCTTTTTGAAGAGGGTGCTGTGAACTTCGACAGTGACCTGGTGGACAACTCAAAGGGTCCTTTGGAAACATTGGTAAGCCACCTTCCATTGTGATCCTCATGCGTCGTCAGTACTAATATGCCCTATCCGTTGCAGATCCGAGTCGGCATGTCTGTGGGCCACAGCCCTGGCGTCGCTCAATATGAGCCCGACATGCCGAAGAAGACCGAGGATGTCTCTTTGGAGGAGATGCAAGCCGCCAAGCGCCGAATCGAAGGCAGTCTGGCACCACCGACTGATGCGGCGGCCTTTGAATAGGGAAGGACCAGCGCGTAACATGCGTGTTATCTTTCCGCGATTCTCTTGAGGTGACTCAATTGAAGGATGATTCATTTCGGGCGTTTACTGGTACATGATCACGGCCGGGAGCCGTCATAGCGATTTGCAGCACACTTGTAAAGAATACTTACCTACCATGACGAAGCCGGACGACTACTGGAAGCAAGCAATCAT